AGCTAAACGGACAAATTGGTTGCAGCGGGAAAGCCCTCCACATGGAAATGAGCGGCCGGCCGGCAAGCGCCGGAAGGAACGCCGTCACACCACCCCGTAGCGTTCTCTTAAAAAAATCAAATGCAGCCATATTTACCTCCGGCTATGTATTTCACGATCACCAGAAACATCCACAGGACTACTTTTCAGAATAAGCCTGGGTTGGGAAAAACAGTCAACACAACAGATTAAGATTCACTGTTTGATTTGATTCCTCATTTACTAAAAAAAAATTAATAAAAAAAATTAATAAATAATTATATATATATATATATATATATATATATATATATATATATATATATATGTATATACATATATAGGATTAGAGGTGTGCAATAAAAAAGTTAAAGTCAGTTTTGATCACAGTTTGAAAAAAAATGGGCTTTCCTCAACCATTAGTAGTAACCATAGTAACTCAGTGACAGTTACCAGAACTTTAATTCATCAGAGCAATCTCGCGAACATCGCCATTTGCATGGAGCTGATGATGATTAACCAACAAATTTGCTCAAAATTATTTGCAAAGAGGTAGCTAACTCAGAGTGTCAAACTTAATTGTTCAATGCACCGCGATGCAGATGGGGACAATTTGGTATCGGTTCAGTAATAGATCATAACCGGTTATTATGTACTGACATTATACAATCCGTGCAATGTCATTTGGCAGCATATCAACTCTCAATAATTGCAGATTAATAATGTTTGATATATTATATTTGGGAGTTTGAACAGCATATTTGTGTTCTTGTGTTTGTATGTGTGTGTGTTTGCGTGTGTTTGTTTTTATGGTTCAAAATGACACAAAGTTCACTCAAAGAAATATTTTTTTGCTCAATCAAACTACTTAAATAAAATGAGCTGAAACAACACACTTCTTGCGATTCTATTGGGACAACTTAAGTTTTTTATGTTCAATCCACATAAATTTGTTAAAAATGTTAAGTTTACTCAATCAGTTTGTGTTGGGACAGCGTGATTAAATTGTGTGGAACCCTGCATTTTTTACAGTTGTATAATGACATCGGTTTGACATAGTTGTACTCTATCAGTGTTGGTTTAATGTCCCTGTAATTCAGTATGCTTAAAATCATATTTAATGAGGTTTTTGAACTTTGCCGCTTGTTTCCTGTGACGGCTGGGTTTAGGGGTATAGGGCCATATAATTAGCTGTTTTTACCTATTGATGTTACCTAATAACATTACCCATATTAAGTGTCCCTGTAAACCATGTATACTAGTATGTGTGCATGCACATATCTGAGTGGGTGTTTGAGCAGTTGGAGTATCGCTCCTTTCTGAACTCGCAGTCATAGTGACTCAGGATAGAGTCACAGTAGAAACAGAATAGAGCATCACAGCACAGAATCAATAAAATGCATAGAAAATAGAAAAACTGCTATTGACTTTTCTATTTATATAACACAATCCATAATATAAGGCATTCTATTAAATATGAATAGCTTTTGGGGAAGCGAGGAAGGGAACATAAAAACAACAACAGTGCTGATCTATTCTCTTCAGCTGTAGCCAAGTTGATCAGTCATGCTGTTTTATAGCCTGTATGTTATTCTCGATTTCCTCAGATCTAGCCTCAGAACAAATGAATCCAATAGAATCGCCTAATTAGGTCAGTACTCACATAATGCAGAATAAACAAAAGGGTGCAGTGCTGTGGCAATTAAAGGTGCAGAAAACAGGAGAAAACAGCATTTTACTTATGGATATTTCAATCAGTTAAAAAGCTAACCAGGCATAAGTGGATTATTCATAGCTAGATTTGAGGGTGATGTGGTTGTGTAATTCCATTTACCAAGCAGGGCTCGGATCTGGCATTTTAAACATTGTGACAGCACTCATTCTCAGAGTCCAGATTCTTGGTGGGCGTTGGAACAGAGGTGTCAAACGCGAGCGCTTTCATCCCTGGCTGAGTCCTTTCCTGCAGATTTCAGTGTCACTGTGTTCTGCCTTCCATAAGCTCGTACTTTCAAATTAGTTACACTTGGTTGTACTGAGACTGACTGCGCGTGGAAGCCTCAAAGTTTGCAGGACTTCATAGACCATATGGTGAGATTGTTCACAGATATATCAACCGAACATTCAACATTTCTCATTAGTTACTAATCCTCAGTTTATTTCTCCTTATTTTATTTTACTTTATTTTATTCAGCACCAAATCAGCATATAAAATTGTTTCTGAAGAATCATGTGATACTGAAAATCTTCAGAATAGAGATATGCATAAAGCTATGAAGATTAGTGTATGTAAGTGATGTTAAAGTAGAGATTTATGGCTCAGTGCATGAGGAAAAAAACATTTTGAGGAAACAGTTCCTTTACAAATATGCATTGCAATTAAAATCTACTGACAACAAAAATGTATACTATCTTGATTATTCAATAAAATACTTTCTTTTTATTATACTGAAAAAAGACTATGAAAAGCCAAGTCCAAATATCAAAATTTGTGTTTTTATCTATTTCACCTCTTTTTTAATGCTTTAATTGTTCCTTTTGTATATTGACCATCATTTAATTTATTTTATTTTATAAATGCTGAAGCAATATGTAAATATTTTAAATCCATGCAGTGCGTGTGGTTTATTTTTTAAACACATCAAAAATGACGGATTTGTATTTGAATACTGTCATTTATATGTGTGTGAAGTGAATAAGTATGTGTATTACCCTATATGTACTGTTGTGGATGTGTCATCTCTCTGAGATGATTTTGAGTATTAATTTGGCCATAACTTTTTTCGTGGAATGATTTTCGGTGACAATTCTTATTTTGACACATATTTGGAGAAAATGCTTTGAAATAAAAAAAAACTCAAAGATACACTGTGGGCAAATTTATTACCGTTTTATGATTGGGATGAAAACATCCAATGAATAAAACTGCTGTAAAAATGCATTAGATAAAAAATTATTTAAATTGTTTATTTAATTTGAGATTTATCAACTTCATTTCTGATCAAAACTACTAAATGGCTTAGAAAGTTACAGGGTTTTACAGGTCTTTAATTGCCAAATTTATGAATGATGTCACTGATTTGGTGAAAAAAACTTTTATGTTTTCAATATAAAACGTAATTGTGGACTTATTTTATTTTTTATTTTTTACCTTTTATCAAAGTCTTGGACATGTGCAACAACACTGCTTTTAATTCATTGCATTTTGACTAATTTTCTTTTGTCAAAGAAGGCTGTTTTGCCCAATCTCCATTGATCTCCATTATAACCACATTTTTTTATTACAAACCATGACACCATATAATCACGCGTTTTTGATTGTTGGTGGTTTTCCCTGTTGAGAAGAGATCATATTTGGAATATTTACTGTTGATCATCAGTTGGCACCATTAACTCTTTAGATTGGACTGTGCAAAAAAAAAAATCTGGATTTTTATGCAGTATAACAGCAAATAGAAGTGTGTCTGTGAGAGTGTGAGAGTGACCTTTGCACACTTATCTTATTGTGTCTGAGAAAATCAAATGATGCATCTTATTTCTCAGAACTACATGAAGTTAATAAAAAGAAAGTGCGCTATGCAGAAAGTGTTTATTTGTGCACCATCAAATGTGGTTATAATGGAAGTCAATGTGGCAAAAACAGCGTCAAAAAATAAATTAGGGAGAAAAAATGAAAATCTAACAATGCTTTAAAGCCAATCATACATTAATCATTCACATGTCCACGACTGTGATAAAAGGTTAAAAAAAGTGCAGTCCACAATTACTTTTTATATTGAAAAAACATCATTTTGTGTGTGTTTTTCACCAAATCTGTGAAATAATTTGTGAACTTGCCAATTAAAGAGTTAAAATCCTGTAAATGTCTAAACAATTTTGTAGTTTTTAATCAAGAATGAGGTTGATTAACAGATTAAAGCAAAAAATAAAAAATAAAACAAATATTTATCTGATGCATTTTTACTGCAGTTTAAATCATTGGATGTTTTCATCCCGAACATAACAAAAGGGTCACAAATTTGAACAGTGCACAAGGGTTAAGCATAATAATTGTAATTGTGTCAAGTTTTAATCACTCAGCAATTTAATTAAAAAGCTGGATGCATTGCTATCACAACAAATTAATATATTTAAAATTCCAATGAAAATAAGGCCTTTAGTTGGCATGAATATAACTCTTACCTCATTAGTGCATGTGGATTCCTGAATATGCAAATTAGTCCCCGCCTCCACATCAGCTCGGATTACCTGATCCACTTTCATTTTCTCAGCTGAAGTGCTAAACATAGTACACAACGGCAAGGGGCAATATTCATTTAAGTCAACCATATATGTTGAACCAGAAACAGATTTCAAAGAATAGAAGGAAGAGTGAATTATACTATGTTGATATATCTAAAGTAATCCTTTTATGTACAGTACTGTATTTTTGTCAATAATGTCAGACACATAATTAACTTACACACATCAGCTAAACAGCATTTCTAAAAATTAACATTCCTTGGTAGAAACAACAAGCTGACTGGATTAATAACATGTTTGTGATGGTAGAAATTGATTCAAACCATATTACACTGCAGTTTTAAAGATGGTTAACAATGGATGGTTAGTATTATATTAAAAATACATGTAAGCAATGTTAGAAACTTGATTTTTTTTCTTGTTTTTTTTTTTTTTGTTTTTATTCACTCTGAGGTGATTCTAAGTCTTAATTTGACCGCAACGTTCTCTGTGTTCCAGCAAATGGAATGATTTTTGGTGACAAATCTTATTTTGACACATATTTTGGGAAAATGCTTTGAAAAAAAACTGGACAATTCATCAAGACTGTGTGAAATGGTGTCATGACTTTGCAATCAAAAAATGTCATTATAATGGAAGTCAAATAAGCTAAAACAGGTCCAAACATAAAAGGACAGTCAATCTGAACAGTACACAAGGGTTAAATAATAATATGATTAATAGATCCAATTTTTTCCATACAGGTATCACCACTGTGCTGACCATGACCACAATCAACACCCACTTGAGAGAAACTCTACCGAAGATTCCATATGTCAAAGCAATAGACATGTATCTGATGGGCTGCTTCGTCTTTGTTTTCTTGGCTCTGCTGGAATACGCTTTCGTCAACTACATTTTCTTTGGACGAGGGCCTCAGATGCAGAAGAAATTGGCTGAGAAAGCTGAGAAAGCCAATAATGACCGCAACAAGTATGACGGCAACAAGGTAAAAATCATGTGTATTATCTTGCAATGCCAGTGAGGAGAATGACTGTATTGTATACTGTACTTTCCCCCCAAATAATATTTTAATTCTCAAAAAAGTCAAATGGTAATCATATGAACATTAGAGAAACATCTGTAAACATGGTCACTGACATTTGCATATTAATATCAACAACCATGATGTCCTGAAATATCCCAACAGGCAAACAATGTCATAAGACATTGATATTAGGTTAGATTTAGGTCATGATGTCAGGTGACCAAAATTCAATGCCTAGTCAGCGTCTAAAGACAACATTATTTTAACATTTAATAACAAAGTCAAATTACATTGATATTTGATTGATTTTAGGTTGTGTTGGGAAGTAACCAAAATGCAACGTTGAGACAACATCTTAAACCAAAGTCATATTGATGTCAAATAATGACATTTATTCATCTGGTATGGCAACCAAAATCCAACGTCTATAGTGGTAACGTCCACACAACATCAAGCTGTAACCTCATTAGACGTTAATATTTGGTTGATTTTAGGTTAAACATTGGACACTGACGTCAGCTTGACATTGGGTTCTGACGTCAACCTGATTTTCACTTCCAAACAAAATGCAACGTCTCCATGACATTGGGGTACAACATCAATCTGAAGTTCTGTACCTGCTGGTAGACGTCTGCATTACCACGGGACCCGACCAGATTTCTTGCAGCGTGGGAATAAAATGCAGTAGCGGTTGGTGACTCTGGTGTAATTTGAGCAGGAGCGGGCGGGTTAACAATATCGCTCCTGAGTCCCGACAATATTTCGGAACAGCATATTTGTGATTTCCTTATTCTTAATGAGCATCTGTACAGCCAGCGTTCACGACTGTTACACATGCTGAACGCATGAAACAGTGCTTTGCACGTGCATTTTATTAGCACAGTCTGTGCACGCATCATCTGCATAACGGTCCTTAGAGCAGGCTTTACCGTGGCAAAACAAAGTGAAGATGTGCTGTCCTTGAAAGACGTTTAGCTTGCTTTAGAAAACGGTCAGTTTACTGTTAGGAAACCCACATCAGGCAAGTCTGAAGTTAAGGAAGTCTTTTTCATGTGTCATAGACGCAAATGGAGAAAGATTACCCTTTGCGCGATGTGATAATATCTTAAAGATTTACCTTTTAGCAGTCAAGGGGGTCGCATACTGGATGCGCTGCGCCGATCAGCGACATGCATTTTGGAATTCTAAAGATGGGTTTCTATTAAAACCAACCAGTGCTGCAAGTCAACAGCTGTCCACGGCACCCATCTACTACTCAGGACACTGAAACACAGGAGGGAGAGAAATGTTGGGGTGTGTAGGCAATCCCAAACTGAAGAGTAGGAAGGGGGGTGTTGGACCCCCGGCTTTGGGGCACCGTCTGCTTCACCACTGGGCACATCCGATTGGGTTGAAGGCAATCCTAAACTAAAGGGTGGGTGGGGGTGGGGGTTGGGGGGTTGGTGGTTTGGGTTGATGGAGGCGATCCCGAGCTGGTTGCATAAGACTGGAAGTCTTTATAAGACAGGTTTAAAGCCTGGTTTACACTTCTGCGTCAAGTGACCGGCGTAACCCACGGCGCATGCAACGCGCGTAGCTGTGCATTTATACTTCTGCGCTGTCTCTGTTGGTCTGCATTAACACTTCCGAAATGCTAGTTGGCAGTGAGGTGTAAATGTTCCTCTGTGTCGAGTTTCTTCGCTGCTGTTTTGCTTTTCCTGAACACTTCCGGGATGTACAAGTGGCTCAAACTCGCTCATTTTGAGGCAGGAACCAGCGGACATGCAACAACTTTAACTATGAGGTAAACACAAAACAAAACTTTCCATCCGGAGCTGCTTCACGGGACTCCACACTTGTAAACAATCGCTCCATCAGGCTCGCGCCATTCACGCGGCTCTCGGTCCCGCCCAGACTTGTCAGCGCTACCAAGCCGACCAATCACAGAGCTTGCGCTACGCGTCGTTGCGACGTGTAGTTAAATATTTTGAGAGGTGCACGTCAGCGACGCCGACGGCCATGGCGAAGGGCTATGCGTCAGCACCGTAGCATACGCCGGCATTTGACGAAGAAGTATAAATCAGCCTTAAGGCAGCACTCATGTCTCATAGGGGCAAACAAAACAGACATTTAGCCTACAATCCTTGCACAACCTACAATTTTATCTGTTATCTCTCTCTTTTGGTAGTACCCAATTTAAAAATGAGATTTTGGAAATCAGATCTGAATATAGCAGGAACGGTCAAGTCGGATAGAAAATTATTCTACGCGGACAGTGGGTGAACAAAGACTGAATATGGCAGGAGCGGTCGGGTGCAGAATAAATCCTGGCGGGAACGGGCTGGAGTGGGACTAAAAAAATAAGTCCCACATAGACCTCTACTTGCTGGGATGTGTCGCTGCTTTTGTAATGAGATTAAAAATTTCTGACTAAAGTTGACTAAAGGTTTCTAAAGCTCAATGAAGAACAAACTGTTGTTTGTGTTTTTTTTTTTCTGGCCAGTCTGTTCAAGAGGGAGGAAACTGCAAGCCATCATCTGTTAAACAGTCCAATCAGGTACAAGGCCACCGTCACTCACGAGGGGTGAGTGTGTGTGCATGTCTGTGCGTGCTTGTGTATGTGTGGGTGTAAGTTCCAGCATGTTTTGTCAACATTTGTAAGAGTCCTAGCAACAGTTTACCTCTCATTCAATGCAAAACATTGTTTCTCAACATAGGTCTGTTCTAGAAAAGGGACACTGGCTTGTTAACTTAAAGGAAGCAGAAAATGCTTCCCATACTTCTTTTTGTTAATGTCAAAGGCTGAGTGTGCAGGTATGAATCACTTGGTAGAAGACAGCCAGATAATACAGTGCCCATACCAGACTTGACCACTGATGCTGTCTAGACACAGTGTTAGTTACAGAGAGATTCTGTGTTGGTGCATAAATAATCATTTTATTTTATTTTCATTCCTTCGTTTATTTTCTTTCGGCTTAATCCCTCAATAATCACGGGTCGCCTCAGTGGAATGAACCACTAACTTATCCAGCATATGCTATACACTGCGGATACCTTTCCAGCTGCAACCCAGCACTAGGAAACATCCATACACAATCATCCACACACAAACAGTATTGACAATTTAGTTCATTCAGTTCACCTGTTCCGGAAATCGAAGCACCCAGAAGAAACCCACACAAACATAGAAACGCCAACTCTCGAACCAGTGACTTTCTTGCTGTGAGGCGAGAGTGCTAACCACTGAGCCACCATGTCGCCCTATTTTATTTTATATTATTTGTGTAAAGTCATTTTATAATTTATGATTTATAAACTCTGAAATTTCTTTCTCAACAAGTTTTACTATTCCGACACATCAATTTTGGAGACTGAATCATCAATTATATCATACTTTTGTGTCATCTTGCTGTTTTCTATCTTCATATGTAATGGTGTGGGTTCTGGTCCATCTGAAAGGTCAGTCAGGTTACCAGAAATCCACTTCTGATGTCCCTCATTCTGCTGAACATTCTGGTTCAGTGCACATGATCTCATAACACAACAATACATCAATGCATAACAAAACAATACTCAACTTCTATTGCTGTTTCTCTCCTTCACAAACACTGACCAAGATGATGACCAGAGCCTGAACTGTAATGATATTTTTCCAAGAATGTATTTCTGAATTATTTATTACTGCAGAGACGCAGAGGTAATAGTAAATAAACAATTAATCTCACGGAGGAACCTCCTCTTGAGAAATAACCTGAACTTGTTGTTCAGCACAATACCAATTACTTCTGTCGTGTAGCAATGTTTTTTTTTTCCTTACTGCTGTTTTAATTATTTTATTGGAGGAAAAGTTTGTGTGATCAGCAACACGGTGGCTCAATGGTTAGCACAGTCGCCTCACAGCAAGAAGGTTGCTGGAATTCTGACAGTTCCAGTTGACACTCTTGTGTGGAGATTGCATGTTCTCCCCGTGTTGGTGTGGGTTTCCTCCGGTTTCTCCGGGTTCCCTAAAAACATGCGCTATAGGTGAATTGAATAAACTAAAATTGTCCGTGGTGTATGAGAGTGTTTCCCAGTACTGGGTTGTGGCTGGAAGGGCATCCGCTGCGTAAAACATATGCTGGATAAGTTGGCGGTTCATTCCGCTGTGGTGACCTCTAAAAATAGAGACTAAGCCAAAGGAAAATTAATGAAGTTTGTGTGATGTTATTTTTATTTTTATCATTTATTACTATTATAGTTATGTTAAATTTAGGAAAAAAACTAAATATTTTACTGACAGCTGACATGTACCACAATCTGCCATGGGGTGTTTTAAAAATTAACCTTTTAACTGTCACCCCACATTGAGTTCATACATGAAAATTGCATATGATATATAAGCATTTATATATGCATTTAGGGACATCTATGAACATCTTTGAGGGACATCTTTGAACATCTATTCGATCTCTTTCAAACACAAAGTGAAGTTTCATGAACTAATTTCAAGAGGAGCATGTGATATGATCGAGCACAGCTGGTTCTTATCAGTGATCAGTAATAATCCAATCAGATATAAGCTTACATTAAATAGACCATTTATACCCTACTGCATCATCTTCATTCTGGAAAAATCCCCCCTTCCACCCCATCTCCTCTTTTTCCTCACTTTTCTAAGGGGAGCTTTAAGACCTATTCTCGGACCCTCTTTTTATGCTTATTGACCAGGTGGGGTCCTTGGGCTCAATTATCTCAGAGCTCAGGGTTCTCTCCCAGGACAGCATGCCAAACCTGCTATTAACGCCAAGCATATCTAAGTGTGAACTCTTGAAATTGCTTGGTGGATAGTTTGTCAAGATAAGTTCAGGTTCAGATAAATAATACTACTAATAATTATAAAATATGCACTGAGAAACATTTGTGGTAAGCCTTTATCTACCCCACCAAGAAAAACTCATAATGTCGCTAGTTAACACAGTCAATGCATTTTTTTCAACACATCCCATAATTTCCAAAATATCAACCTCTACTAAATGGTAGAAATGTCAGTTTATGGTAAAGAAAAAAAAAATACAAACTTAATACATATACTATGAAAAATCTGGGGCTGCATGATGGTGCAGTGGGTAGCGCTGTCGCCTCACAGCAAGAAGGTCGCTGGTTAAAGCCTCGGCTGGATCAGCCTTTCTGTGTGGAGTTTGCATGTTCTCCCTTTGGAGTAATTGGGTAAGTTTAATTGTCTGTTGTGTATGTGTGAATGAGTGTGTATGGATGTTTCCCAGTGATGGGTTGCGGTTGGAAGGGCATCCCCTGTGTAAAACATATGCTAGATAAGTTGGCGGTTCATTCCGCTGTGGCGACCCCAGATTAATAAAGGGACTAAGCCGAAAAGAAAATAAATGAATGAATAATATATGGGCATCACGGTGACGCAGTGAGTAGCATGATGAAAAATCTGAAAATATGAAGTGTTATAAAATATATTAAAATTAAAACATTTTTTTATTCTAAATCTTCTTTAATTTATTGAAGTATGCCATAACATATTTCAGATTCTTATTTAACATGTTTTCATGTTTGTTTGTTTTTACAATAAAACCAAAATCAAGTGTAGTAGTGCAACAGTATTATGTTTGTTTGATTATTTTTGTAAACCAACAATGCTGTGTAGTATTATTAACTTTTATTTAAAACATCCATTCTTTAAATGACTTTAACAGTCATTATTTTAAAAAGTCAAAACATAAGCAACCGTTTAGTGCAGGGGTGTCAAAATCAATTCCAGGAGGGCCGAAGCCTTTAGTTTAGTTCCAACCCTGCTCCAACACACTTACCTGTAGGTTTCAAACAAGCCTGAAGGACTCAATTAGTTTGATCAGGTGTGTTTAATTAGGGTTGGAACTAAACTGTGCAGAGCTGCGGCCCTTTTGGAACTGAGTTTGACACCTGTGGTTTAGTGGAACGGCAGTCAAATTAGTAAGGAGACATTTGAGGGGTACAAAGGTCTTCAACTTGCTTAAAAGTACAAAGTTTCAGTGAGAAGACTTGATTGTGTTGACCACGATATGAAATGTGGTTTGCTCACTTAGGGGACATTTACTTAATAGCATTTTGAACTTAAAAACTAAAATACTCTTTAGTCGTTTATTAACACAGCAGTGTTTTGGTGGGCCAAATATGCAAACATTTAAAAATGGTTTTCATGGTGCAGTTATCAACTAAACTCAAATTTTAAAAAGTTAATTTTGTTAAAACAGTGTACAGCACGCGTGTTAAAACAGTGTACAACAGTGAAGCGTGTGTGTATCACATGTTCAGTCTATAAACATTTGCGAGTTCTTGACAGCCAATGCAAAATGATAGACTGCAATGTATAATGGATGTATAATGCAAGACTTTTCTAACAGGATGCGATTTATTGAACCCAAAGTGCGCCCTCTGTGAGGCATTAGAGGCCTGAAACTACAAATAACTTGTATATATATATATATATATATATATATATATATATATATATATATATATATATATATATAGTGTCCAAAAATGTATGTACAAAAATACAATGTATCAAATCAACAAATTAAATACAAAGACGACTATATACTAGGGCCGAAGCAGTGGCGCAGTAGGTAGGGCTGTTGCCTCACAGCAAGAAGGTTGCTGGGTTGCTGGTTCGAGCCTCGGGCTCAGTTTCTGTGTGGTGTTTGCATGTTCTCCCTGCATTCGCGAGGGTTTCCTCTGGGTGCTCCGGTTTCCCCCACAGGGGAATTGGGTAGGCTAAATTGTCCGTAGTGTATGACTGTGTGTGTGGATGTTTCCCAAAGATGGGTTGTGGCTGGAAGGGCATCTGCTGCGTAAAAAACTTGCTGGATAAGTTGGTGGTTTACACTGCTGTGGCGACCCCAGATTAATAAAGGGACTAAGCCGACAAGAAAATTAATGAATGACTATATACTATATACAACACAAAACAATCAAAGAAAAAATAAAAACAAACAATTTTTATAGTTTTAAAGGAACACTCCACTGTTTTAAGGACTATTTTTAGATGCTGCGTAATATCATTGCACCTGTAACAGCCATAGTACTGCAGCAAAGGTTCATGATTATTACGCCAAAACAGTTCTGAGACTTATTGGCATAGAAAATAACAACTTTTCAGTTTCTTTTAGTTTTATTAAACATGTTCCTAATAAAGAGTCAAGCTTTAAATAGAAAAAAATTATCAAAACACTTAGTTAATTTTTGAGTTAAATGCTAATGGTCTAATCTGATTTAATGGTCTTAGGCACAGGTGTCAAACTGGAGGGCTGCAGCTCTGTACAGTTTAGATCCAACACTAATTAAACACACCTGATCAAACTAATTGAGTCCATCAGGCTTGTTTGATACCTACAGATAGGTGTGTTGAAATAGGGCTGGAACTAAACTCCACAGGGCTGCAGTCCTGCAGGAATTGAGTTCGACATCGCTAATCTAAGCTAAGCGAAGCTAAACTTCAGACCCAAAGATCAGCTGAAAAGTTTCAAAAATACTAAAACTCAGCTATTTAACTCTGAATGACTTATAAAAATAATTTATATTATTTATTATTATAAATTTCCAAAAACAAATCGGAGTGTTCCTTTAACACATACTTGTCTTATAAACATTCTCAAAGTCATTGTCTCTTTCTGCAGGTGGACTCCCAGGGAAATATTCTTCTGACCACCCTGGAGATCCACAACGAGGTGGCCGGGAACGAGATCACCACCAGCGTCAGCGAGGCTCGAAACTCCACTTCAATGGTGTTCGATAACTCAGGGATCCAGTATCGCAAACAGAGCACAGCGCGGCACAGCATGGACAGAAACGCACAGTCCAAGAAACCGCGACTACGCAGACGCTCTTCACAGCTCAAAATCAAAATCCCTGACCTCACAGACGTGAACGCCATCGACCGATGGTCACGGATTATATTTCCCGCAGTTTTCTCGCTTTTCAACTTGATCTATTGGCTGTATTATGTGAATTAGGCCTCAGGCGTCCGTTGGGTTTTTTTGGCCCTTCACGATTTTTTCATGTTGCCAAGTGGAAAATTAGACTTTTTTTTTCTTTCTTTGCTCTGATGTACTTTACGGACGTGCTCGCACGCCATATTGAATTTTTTTACATTTGAACCCTTGTGATGTTATAAAGGGTTGGGACTGAATGCTACCTGCACTAAATGGGCCGTCCCGTACAGTACATTTCCAGTGACATCAACAAAATCAGTTTTCTAAAGATACATGTCATAATTTCCGAAGCCACAGGACTTCCGCATGATGCATTCAGAGCTGTTTTTAATTTGTACATGTTGCTATGTTATTCCGATCGAAAGACTGCTAATGTTTCATGCCAATACGTCTTTACTGTTGGAGCACAGGGGATGAATATTAAAAGAAGACTATATAGTTATGGAAATGCAATATAACAAGGGTTGTAGTTCAAATCACGTCTTCAAAACATTGTCATTATGATCTTATTTAGACGACGTTTGTATATAATCATGTCACGATATGCTTTTGGAACATGATTTCCATCCGCCTTGGGTTGATATGATTATGCGCCACTTTTTGCAATCATCATGTAAAGTGCTTCAGTACATGTACGATAAGATAATAACTGTTCACTCAAGGATATCAACAACAACTAAAATGAGAAAAGGAACAAAAAAGGGGAATATTTAAATCAGGGCCTGCAAAGGATTTCCATGATGCCATCCTGAACATCAAACACAAGAAGACGAACAATCCTCACATTGTGTTTTGCTTTTTGTTAGTAGACGTGTAGCAATGACTTTGATTTTCAAGTGAGGTTTGGGTGTTTTGTTCCCCTCCTTTTTTTTTTAAGTATGCCTGAGTCATTTCACATATCATCGTAGGCCTTTTGGAAACATCATATGGGCCCACTTACATCTTCATCCTTTTCCCTTCCTGAAAGGGGTTATTTACATGAACGCATTTGAGGGAATTGTATGCTGGCATCAACACATAACTTGTCTCAGGTTCTCTTCCAACAAGAAAATGATCCGTATTTTTCTGATCGTCAGTATTCGCATCATCTTTGTTGTGATTAATTTGTATTATATCCTTGTGTACAGCAACGATTACATAGCAGATTTAGAGCGCATGATATTGTTTGCATTTTGCGATTCTACAGTGACTGTATCCGATTTTTGTTTTGGCAGATTTCTTTACCACCAGTCATATGCACTTACTCAGTTTCTGGGGCCGAAAACTGCTGTCTGGTTAGAGAGTAATGTATTCTCATGCTTGCAAACCATCAAATATATTTATAAATCTCTTTAAAATATCCCGTGTGTGCTGTTAACATGTCATTTAACAGGTTGCTTTGCAGTTACATTGTGTCAGTAGATGCTCATTAATTCTTGAATTACTTTTCTTCCCTCTTCTATTGTATGTTGTAAATATATAACCCACGATCCACACATGATCCATTTCTCTGTTCCCTTTTTTTCTAATATTCACTTCTGAGGTTTTATTCTGTACAAATGACAAGAACTCTATTTATGAAATGTGTTTAAACTATTAGACATATGAGGGGTGAATGTCCAAAGGACAACATGAGGAAATGGAATAAACTTTACTCTTTCAAGTAGTTGATTTTGCCTTATTTCATATACTAATGAGGTGCTTTTAATGTGAAACATGACTAGGAACCAGTGTTTAATTTGTAAATGAATAATTCCCAGAGCAAAATCAGAAAATAAGAACTACTGTGACTGTCCACCAAACAATTTCAGTTTTCCTGAAACATAACATCATTAAACCGTGAAAAGAGCATCACATTTTTGTGCCATGTAACGTTATAGGTAAGTCATGGACAATAAAAACGTAGCTATAAACATAAATCATATGAACAATCACTATTCAGTTCACTTCACTATTATGTGCCAAGTGAATAAAATAATTAAATGACTTAGTCGAATCTCCATCAAGAAGAGCCCATTGTTACCTCTTTCGCCATATCTTCTGGCTGACTTGAGATCACTTTGCTTCTGTCTCCCACTATCCTGGAGTGCGAACGATGTTACTCGCGGCTGAACTATCATAGTACGATGCATCGTTTGGGAAAAGAAAGATGTAGTGACGAGTGTCTCTCTGTCACAGATCCATCTCTTGAACCACATTAGTTGTAACGTAAAACGCTCATAATGATGCTCTAAACGAGGTGGAGTAACTACTTCTTTAAAGAAGAACTTCATAATTTCTTTGTGCAAATTATATTGTTTTACAAGCACACGCATTTTTTAAAAATCCAAAATTAGTTTGGGTAAAAACATACACACGCTTTCCAAATAAACTGAAATATATGTAAATTACACATATAGGGCTGTGTTTCCTTTACAAATATTATTGAGAATATTACTTATTCTATTCTTAATTAACATAAAATTACTTACAAAAGTTACCAAGTATTCTTAAATCATATAAATAAATAAATAATGAGGCTGTTATTAAAAATGAAATTTGTTATTTATTATTTATTAAGAAATGAAAAAAATCCTGCTTTAATAATAATAATGATGAGGATGATGATTAAAATGATAATAATAATTATTATTATTATTACCATGAAGAAGGATATTATTTATTATTTTTTAATTTTTTGAAAAGTCTACCTTTACAATTTGACTCATACAAACCACTGCAGAAATGAGAGAGATAACCTTAATGCTGTTTTATTTTTAATAATTCCAATATATTCCATTATATTCCAATATATAATATTTAAATGTTAAAATTTTCTAAATGGGTGGTTCATTCCGCTGTGGCGACCCCGGATTAATAAAGGGACTAAGCCAACAAGAAAATGAATGAAAATGTTCTAAATGAATAGGGCATAGGGGGGATAACTGGAATAGAACACAGCCAGGAACTATGTTTCTAACTTCAGCTATAGAGGTGTAGTTGCAAGCGCAGAAGTTTGCGACGCAGTTTGCGAATGTTCCTTGGAAAGATGGATTTGGGAAACGGCAAATCAACAAACTATGCTTGTAACGACGGAACTTGCAACCTTAATTGGCTAACGATGGTATTGGGAAATGCACCCCTGATCCATTCGCGCAGTTTCATCTTCTTGAGATCTCTGTTGATCAGGCTCATTTCGCATTTTTATTTGTGATTTTTAAAAGGTGAAAATATGTGTGACTGTCTTTTTGCCATTTTGAAAAAATAATACTATTCAGGTTGGCTACTATGCCATTATTTATTTTCGCTGCTCACTGCACGCAAAACTATCACCAACCAATGAGATTGATTGTAAACAAGCACTGCATAATATCATTGAGTGTGCTGTTGCTTAGTTACGGTAGCAAAGTTCCTTGATTGTTACACCATAACGAGAGTAAAGTTCCAAGCCAAGTCAGGGTAGAAAATATTTTACTTTTTCTTTTGGTCTTAGAACATGGTAGAGCTGACAGAATTGGTCCGAGCCCTAAAAGTACATTTTGATTGACAGCTTTTTAAAAACTTGAACTTATTTACAACCAGACCTTATTCAAATGTGCACACGCATACAGCTCTTTTGCCTTTTTTCAAGAATGAGTTGTTTATTCGTGTTTTACATAATTTATTCATACCAAACGTATAGGCCACTTAAAAGTTGGAACAAAGAAACAAAATATGTCATCTGTAACATTGTAACATCTCAGAACTCTAAATAGGTCGAGGTACATACACTTAGCCTTTGAATTGGCCAAGACACCAATAAAAATAAGTTTTTCTTAGCAAATTAAATGAAAATAAATTCTAAATTATGATAGGTGGGTGAGGCAGTGGCGCAGTTGGTAGTGCTGTCGTCTCACAGCTAGAAGATCGCTGGTTCGAACCTCGGCTCAGTTGGCGTTTCTGTGTGGAGTTTGCATGTTCTCCCTGCCTTTGCGTGGGTTTGCTCCGGTTTCCCCCACAGTCCAAAGACATGTGGTACAGGTGAATTGGGTAGGCTAAATTGTCTGTAGTATATGTGTGTGTGTGTGTGTATGTTTCTCAGAGATGGGTTGCAGCTGGAAGGGCATCCACTGCATAAAAAAACTTGCTGGATAAGTTGGTGATTCATTCTGCTGTGGCGACCCCGGATTAATAAAGGGACTAAGCCGACAAGAAAATTAATGAATTATGATAGGTTATGATTTGGCAATACCGAAATTAAAATAAAGACTCTGCAGGATTTGTTTTGCCACTTCTCTTCAAAATCTAGCCATAAGGTGAAGCTGGATAATAAAAGAATATTGCCAACATTAGCCTATATACTCACATTAGGCATTTATAATTTGATTGATTTAATTTTGCAAGTTTTGGGTAGGATTCTTTGTTCATTTTCCACCTGCCAGAAACATCAGTTTCATTTTCTATGACAGCAGTTTAAATGTAGCGAGTAACCTTGTCGTTTTCCCTGTCAGCTTGCTGTACATTTTCTCACTCTGCAAAATACGCTCTTTTTGACTTCACCGTCATCATTTGTTTTACCTTTGCAGGAATGGGTTTTGATGTTGCAACAAACGATTTGAATACTTTCTTGCGCTAATCGAAATGCACCACATAACCGTTAATTTACCGCACAAGCCAGAGCACAAGTGCAAGCCTGGCCTGACCCTGTCTAAAATTATAGAAATTAAGCCTGAACCCGTCAGGTTCTTTTGGATTAGGGCAAAGATCCTCAGCTCTAGAACACTTTGTAACTGCAGAAGTGTCATGCTTTAAATGGAAAAAATATTGAAACTCTTTGGGTTTTTATTAAATGTGATGCTAACGGTCTAATCCGATTCAATAATATACGCTAAGCTAAGCTAAAAGTTTTCCAGCCAGACCCAAAGATCAGCTGAATTGTTTCAAAAATTGTAAAACTCAACCGTTTAACCCTAGGACTCATGTAAAATTACACTATTTTCAAAGACATAAAAAGTGGAGTAGCTATTCCTTTAAATCTGAGAATGGAATTAATTTACTTGTTTTTGAAAAATCTCGGAAAACACCTCTTTAATCAGAAGCCAGTAATATTTACATCAGAAGACATAATCATAACAATACTGTAGGCTTGATCAGGTATTTTAAAAGGACAAACCGGACAAGCTTGCATCAAGTTTGCAAACACAACGCTCCAACATGCATCCAATTTAACAGTAATTCAAAGTCAGTATGAGGAAAATAATAACTCTGAACACAAACACTGGCTTATTTTATTGGGTTTGAACATTGAAGGGAATAAAAAAGACTCGGTAGGCTATTTGAGACTAGAACAGTGGGAACTGGAAGAAAAGGAAGAAAATAAACAAATAAGAATCCCCTGGACACCGATTTTTAGGACATATTCTCCAACACCGTCAACAAAACATAAAACCCCATCCCTACATTTCCAGAGAAAATAGACAAGCGTGGCAGCTTAGAAGCCCTCCTCCATCCACAATGCTAGCAGACTGAGTTTAACGTAAAGGGCATCATAAACATGACTAATGTTACTGGCACATGTGAGTGGTATCGTTTAATAGACGTATTAATCAGTGGCAATGTTGTAACAGCAGTTGTGTGGACTGAGATTATATCTTGCCAATGTAACTGAACCAGAGTGATTCATCTGTCATTGGAAGGACACTGTACTGTATGTCACAAGGAGAGCACTAGATTGATATTTCTGTTTTAAGATTGGTTTACTGTTTTAATTTAGTTTGTGCTATTGGGAAACCAGTTTGACCTCTATTTACCTTTTCAGTTGCCATAAAGTCTCACAGCAGTTGTCAGTTGTCTTTTATAACACACACTCTGCTATTTGGCAATCAAAATAATGACTTTTCTGTGCAAATTTCTAAAAATATAACCTAAAATGAAAAAATCTGATTTTTTAAAAATTTATTTTACATGTTGCTGCTAGCTATCAGTGTTGAAAATGAGAAAATTTCCTTCAGAATATTAAACGTACAGCAATTAGCCTACAAATAACAAGAAATAAATGCAGATAAACAAAATGGGACACAAACCATCCATTTGCTGTAGCTAGCCCACACTTTAATCACGTTTGTGGTAGGCTAATAAAAACATAGTAATTTATAATTTAAATAAAAAGATACAATATTTCGTTCAGCTTTATAACTACAGATAAATGCCCCTTTAAAAAGTTAACTGAAATCCATAAATAACTGTCGTAATTAAAAAGAAGGAAAGGTTAGAAAAATCACAAGGTTGAGCAGTTCAACAAATCACATACGTTACTGTTGAGTTTGTAATCCCAGTAGCCAATCAGAAACGTTAGATTAGTCACCGCGGAAATACTCACGTTTTAGTGCTAGCGTGTATTGATTGATTTCTACACCGATTACTTCATCTCTCTTCACAAACAACGGAGTGCAAACGCGATGTACTGTAAGTAAAGATTCAGTAGATAACTGTAGTGATAGCATTAGTGGACATGTGTAGCCACAGTTTGATGTGCTATTCGCCCAAACACAAGATTTCATATAACTTGCATATTTAATTGGCAATGAGCGTTATTAGAATGTCAAAAGCAATTATTTGTTCTCACAATACAGGTGATATTTATCATATTTACTGTTGTGGTTTTGCTATTTTAAAATGTTGCAGTTTATATTTTGCCTGGTTATGCCA